CACTGCATTGATGCCTGTAACACGCACCGGGGTCATGCTCAACGACATTGTCGAAAAGTATTTCAAAGAGCGCTCCAAAACGCTCAAGGCGTCCACGGTGTCAAAGCACCGCAGCGCGCTCAATAAATTCCAGACCCATCACGGAAATGTCGATGTCGGGACTCTGCAGGACGACAACTCCGCAGACAAATATAAGACTCTGCTGGTGGACGAGCTAGAGGCTACTACTGCCAACGACTACATTCGAATTCTCAGCGCGTTTTTTGACTATGTGCACTCCAACAGCGCCGCCAAGGTGCTGAATCCTTGGAGCGCTCGGATTGTCAAGGGCGCAAGAAATCAGGCGGAATCCTATGAGCCGTTTAGCAATCAAGAACTGAAAAAGATATTCAAAGCGGAGCTCTACCGCGCAAAAATGAAGCTGCCGGACTTCTATTGGGGGCCATTGGTGGCGCTCTACACGGGGGCCAGAGCAGAAGAAATTGCCAGTTTGACGCCCGCACAAGTCCTCAAAGAGAAGGGCATTGTTTATATTCAGATTCTCCAAGGCAAAACCGAAAACGCGCCGCGTCGAATTCCTGTGCACGACGCCCTAGTTGACTTGGGATTTTTAGAATACGTGACGCTTGTCAGGAAAGCCGGATTCCCCCTGTTGTTCCCGCACCTTATCGACGGAAAAAACGGGTTTAAAAAGAACATGACCCGCAGGTTTGGTGTGTATCTGGACAGCGAGGATGTGAAGATCATTCACGCGTTAAAAGTATTCCATTCATTCAGGCACACTGCAATCACGGCGCTAACCAATGCTCAAGTGAATGACGGCTTAAAAAAAGCCCTTGTTGGTCATGATGGGAAGACAAAAACTTCCAGCCACGATGACTATGTGCATCTTGCTCAACTAACGCTGCCCAATCTTTCCCGTGCTATTAACTTATTGAATTTTCCAATTGACCTCGTAGGCCTTCGAGCCGACTCTCCCAGCTTACTGCATGCTGCACAACGGCGCATTGCAGCGCGAAAGGCGATGGATGAGAAGAAACCCCTGGCAGCACTTAAGCGCTAGAAAGCCAAACAGAAAGCCGGACCATGACGAGCGAAGAATTTAAAGCCGTGCTTCAGGAACACGGGTCGAAGTATGTTTATCGTCACTGTCTGTTCGATAACAACGTTCATATTTTCGAGACAAATTTTCCTGAAGATGCTGCCGGTGCCTACCACCGATTTAAGGTGCAGGTTTCAGATCTCCTTGGAATACAACTTCAAAACGTCGCCATAGTCGGTAGCGCGAAGATGGGCTTTAGCTTGGCTCCTGCGAAGGAGTATGCGCCTTTTCATGATGCGTCTGACCTTGATCTAGTGCTTGTGGCTCCTGACCTCTTCAGAGAGCTATGGAAGAGTTATTTCGACTACGTCAGCAGCTCAACTGGTAGGCAATACGCTAGCATCGCTAAAACAGTCTTTAAACACTTTGTATCAATTAAAGCCGAGGACATTACCGGCGACCAACTGCAGTATTTCGAGGGGTGGATAGAAAAAGTTGACCAACTGCGGCGCACGTTGCAGCTGGATTTTTTGCTGCCTCAAGAAATCAACTATAGGGTCTATGAAGACTGGAGCTACGTGGAGAGCTACCACTTGTCGGGTTTAAATCAACTTTGAGAACCATTATGAGCATAGTGTCGAATATGGCTACCGAAAGTCGCCCAATCAAGTGGGTGTTTGATGAGTTCAACAAAGGGAACCTTTTCGTTGACGAATCATTCCAGCGAAACTACACGTGGATTCGAAAGGACCGGATTTCGCTGATGGAAACAATAATTCTGGGCTATCCAATCCCGGAAATATATCTATGGGAAACGGGAACAGACCCGACAAACGGCGATACGAAATACAGCATCATTGATGGGCAGCAGCGTATTCGAACATTGGGGCTGTTTATCGATGACAAACTTAAATTAACTGATTCTGGACTGGAATTCCCAGATCCCGCTTACCGCGGAAAAGTGTTTGAGGAGCTGGACGGCGCACTACGTAGCCAAATCTGGGCTTACAAAATTTCCATTCGCTTTGTAAAAGAGATCGTGTCTCGTGATGACATCGTGAAGATGTTTCTTCGACTGAATAAGACCTCGAACGCTTTAAATCCGCAAGAGCTCCGAAACGCAGAATTCGACGGGGAATTTCTTCGTGCCTCAGAGCAAGTTGCCTCTCTTGCATTCTGGAGAAAGTGGGAGGTCTTCGGCGACAACGAAATCAGGCGAATGCAGGATATCCAGTTCGCCAGCACTCTGCTCATATTTGTGAGAAGTGGCTTTGAAGATGAAACAACGCAGTCTGCAATCAATAAGATGTATGACCTCTTCAATGAAAATTACCCGACCGCCACCGCTGATATTGCACAGATTGAACAGGCGCTGGACCTGTTGGACAAAACTATTGCTGCACAGCCCTATCTGTTAACACCGCTGGCGAAGAAAACTCATCTATATACGACCTTCACGCTTGCGTTCGCGCTGAAAGACCAAGCAAATCTTGATGTGAATAAGCTCGCGGAGATTCTGACAAATTGGTTTCTTTGGGTTGAGAATTCGGGGCCTGCACCAGCGGCATATAGTCCTCAGGTTGTCGAGTATCGTCGTCTGTCTCAAGAGGGTGTTCAGAAGAAGACAAATCGACTTTCTCGTTTTTCAATTCTCCAGCAATACGTCTTACAAACACTCTAGGGTTGTGAGTAAGCCTATGGCTTCGGTTTAAGTTTGGCTTCCAGCGTCTTAATTCGGGCTTCAATCGAAATCTCAGCAGCGAGGTCGGGACGATTTTTAAGTTGCGCGACTTCTCGCCCCAGCGCGACCACCTCAGGCGTCAGTTTTTTTATGGCCTCCGCATAGGAGTTGCGGGATGACGTGAGTCTTTCCTGCAACTGTCGAACTTCAGTCGATAACGTCGCAATTTTATTTTGAGCCTGGAGCAGCTGGGCAGACGCCTTTTTCTCTCTTTCTGCTTCCTGCCTACTCATTCGAGGCTTCTGCGTGCCTAATCTGGTCCACCCAAGCGGCAAGCCTACCGAGGCAAAATAAGCATCCTGCAGCCCCTTTAACGCCTCGGTGCGGGCGGTCTTCCGCATTGCGCCTTCAGCGTTTCGCGCTTTTCTATCCAAACCCAGTGCTCTTTCTGCATCGTCGGCTACATCCAGACCGTCAAGATTCAGGGTGCCATTAACCAGACCGTTTGCCGCGTAATAGTGGAGATGGACAAACTCCTCGTCATAGTGAAGCACCGCAGAGCGCAGCCCCTCACCATACTGAATTTTCAAGAAATCGACGGTTAGACGTTGCCATTTGTCAAACATACGTAGGGCGTCAGGCTTCTCCTTCTGTCCTCCTTTGACATAGGCAGTGTGTGCCTGAATTAGTTCCCGCGTCCTTAACGGCATTGAAACAACTCCAGCGAGCAGAATTTTGGCGTCTTTCGGGAGCTTGCGTTTCCCGGTCCTATCTGTAGCGTCTTGAGCGTGCTGCTTTAGCTCGGCAAGGACTTCGGACGGTTTGCTTCCAAATAGTAGCTTCGGTGGCTTGGGTGCCGCTACATGCTTGCTATGCGTCGGCACTCGTTCTGCTTCTGCAATCACCCCTCCTGCGTGGGTTTTTTTGCTTCGGCTCTTTAGGCCGTATGTCTCGTAATGTATGAATTGTGCTGCCATGAGTTCTCCTTATTGTTGTTATTGGCGTGGTGTGCTCATAACAGACTCAGCACATCCTTCGGACCCTTCGGGCTGCGTGTGCCGAGTCAGGCCAGCTGCGCTGGCCATATGAGTTACCCCACAAATCAACTTAGACGTTGGTTAGGAAAAGTCAAGGCGTAAAGTCGTTGACATTAAATTTAATTTAATATAAAATAAATTTAATTAATCCCAAAGGTTGAAAAATGGCAAAACCAAAACCAGCAATCCCGAATGTCGTTGTCTCAGTGCAGATGCCTGAGCCGCTGCGAAATTCACTGGAAGCACTGGCGGAGGAGCGAGGCCTGAAATTTGCGGAATTGATTAGGAAGCTTCTTGGTGACGTAATTCTTCGTCACGACAGGAAGGCCGTCCAACCAGCGGCAAAAAAATCGTAATCACTGACCTCAACTTTTTTGAAAGGGTCACAACACAAAGGAAAATTCATGAGTAATTTAGGAAGTTACGGCTTTAAGCCGCACAGTGCCAGCGAGGGCACTACAGCCAACGAAGTAGAAAAAACCGTGTCATGCAAGGTGAGTCCGGAGATATGGGCTCGTTGGCGAAAGACGCAGCAGCGTTTGGCTGCTCACGGTGAGATACAGCTGGCCGCTGTCGTCAGGACTTCATTTTTGAAAGCGTTGGACGATTTGGAGATTGACGCAGAGCAGCTGGAATCCACCGAACCAGCGGCGGCAGTCAAGGGAGGGAAGAGCAAATGAACTTAACAGTCAAATTAACTCCTCACAACTGCCGGACGACATTCGATAACCTCATCACCCTATCTAATACGGTGCTTGCAGGTTTCGCGAAAGATACCGATGACCTCGCATTTAATAGATGGTTTTTCTGTGTGACGGCGAAGGTAGGCTGCCTGCCCCCCGATGCTTGGATTGCCACTATTTCCCCGGCTGGTAACAGCTACCGAAACGAGCAGGTAAACAAACTGCAGGCTTCTTTCTACCTCAGCTGCGCAATGGCTACGACACATGAAGAGCTGATGCAGTTCGCTAAGGCAGCTGAGACCGCGATAAAAAATTGTGCGGTTCGTTTGGCCGGGTCCAAAGGAATAGCCCAAGCCAAAAGCGGCTGCTATGTGTATAAGCCGCAAGGTGCCCAAAACCTCAAGCCGTAATTAGCGCTTGGCAACGAAAAAAGCGGCTTCCAGCCGCTTTTTTTGTTCTTGCCATCAAGTGGCCGCTTCCGGCATACTGGTGACGGACGTCATCCAGTTA